AATATTAAGAAAACAAGCAAAAGTAACAAAAGGAGGGGTCCTGATTATAGCTCAGTGGTAGAGTACTTGCCTAGCACATGTGAGGCACTGGGTTTGATCATCAGTACCACATAAAAATAAATAAATAAAGGTACTGGGTCTATCCACAACTTAAAAAAAAAAAAGTAATAAAAGGAGGCCTGGGAACATAGCTCAGTGCTAGGTCTCAATGGCCTGGATTCCATCCCCAGAAAAACAAACAAACAATAAAGGGCTATACTAGTAGAAGATGCTCATACCCTACAACGTAAGAATTTCCCAGGTTTGGAATTCTCTAACATGTAAACAAGACTACATATCCAAGAATGTCATAATGTTAACAATAGCAAAAAGTCAGAAACATGTAAATTAATTATCCATAAACAGTGGCGGATTCATATAATAGAATATAACACAGCAATGAACTAAAGACAAATACAGCATCAAAAACAATGTTTAGGTGCTGGGATTGTGGCTCAGTGGTAGAGCGCTCACCTAGCACGGGCGGGACCCGGGTTCGATCCTCAGCACCACATAAAAAAATAAAAGATGTTGTGTCCAGTAAAAAAAATAAATATTAAAAAAAATTTTTTTGAGTTGGGCATGGTGACACGTTGGTAAACCCAGTAACTTGGGAGCCTGAGGTAGGAAGATTCCAAGTTTGAGGCCAGCCTGGACAACCTAATGAGACCCTGTCTCAAAATACAAAACCAAAAACTGGGATCAAGGTGCAACTTGATGGTAGAGTGATTGCCTAGAATGCTTAATGCCCTGAATTCAACCACTTCACAACAAAAAAGATGGACAGGGCACTGGGATAGCTCAAATGACAAGAGCACTGGGTTCAATCGCCAGCACAGAAAGAAAAAAAAAATTCTGAAAAATGGAAGTTGCAGAATCATATAATATAGTAAACAAGAGTATATGCACTTTTATAGATACATATATTGATAAAATTATAGCTGGGCAAGGTGGTACATGCCTGTAATCCCAGCAACTGAGGAGGCTGAGGCAGGAAGATCATAAATTCAAAGGAAGCCTCAACAACTTAGCGAGGCCCCAAGTAACTTATTGAGACTTTGTCTCAAAATAAAAAAATAGATCCAGGTGGGTTGGCCCACGCCTGTAATCCCAGCAGATGGGGAACCTAAGACAGGAGAATCCCAAGTTCAAAGCCAGCCTCAGCAAAAGCAACTCAGTGAGACTCTGTCTCCAAATAAAATATAAAACATCCCAGGGATGTGGTTCAGTAGTTGAGTGCCCCCAAGGTCAATCTGCGGTACCAAAAATAAATAAATAAATAAAAATGAAAAGGGGTGGGGTCATGGCTCAGTGGTTAAGCACCTCTGGGTTCAATCCTCACTATCAAAAAGAAAAAAGTATAAAACTTAATGGAGGGGGGGATGTGGCTCAAGCGGTAGTGCGCTCGCCTGGCATGCGTGCGGCCCGGGTTCAATCCTCAGCACCACATACAAACAAAGATGTTGTGTCCGCCGATAACTAAAAAATAAATATAAAAAAAAAAAATTTCCCGTTTAAAAAAAAAAAAAAAACTTAATGGAAATAATTGCCTAACTGGGCTGGGGATATGGCTCAGTTGGTAGAGTGCTTGCCTCTCATGCACAAAGTCCTGGGTTCAATCCCCAGCACCACAAATAAATTAATTAATTAATAATAATTAATTAATAATTGCCTAATTGATGACAATGAGAGGGAAGTGAACAAGGAGAAGAAACAAGAATAGGATCAGCAAGCATTCATATCATAATCTATAATGTTTATATAGAGACCCACAAATTAGAGATGTTTAAAAAAAAAAAAAAAAGATCTTTTTTGGTACTGGGGAGTGAATCCAGGGGCACTTAACCACTAAGCCACATTCCCAGCCCTTTTTTGTATTGTATTTGGAGACAGGGTCTCACTGAGTTACTTTGAGCCTAGCTAAATTGCTAAGGCTGGCTTTGAACTCACAATCCTCCTGCCCCAGCCTCATGCCGCTGGGATTACAAGCATGAGCCACCATACACAGCAAGTATGACGTCTTAACTGTTAAAATTTGATGAAGGAGCCAGGCATGGTGGCACATGCCTGTAATCCCAGCAGCTTGGGAGGCTGAGGCAGGATTATAAATTCAAAACTAGCCTCAGCAATTTAGTGAGGCCCTAAGCAACTCAGCAAGACTCTGTCTCTAAATAAAATATTTCAAAAAGTCAGGGGATGTGGCACAGTGTTTACAAGTCCCTGGTTCAATCCCTGGTTACCCCGGAGCCAAAAAAAGATTTGATAAAGGAAATGAGTAGTAAATGTAATAAATAATCACAATATGTATGTTTGGAATATTTCACAATATTTTAGCTTTGAACTCAAGATCCTCCTGCCCCAGACTCCAGAGGTACTGGGATTAAAGGCATGCGCCACCACGTGCAGCAACATGGAGCTTTTAAAACTATATAATGTAGGGCTGGGGACGTGGCTCAGGCGGTAGCACGCTCGCCTGGCATGCGTGCGGCCTGGGTTCGATCCTCAGCACCACGCTGAAAAACTAAATAAATAATTCTCTCTCTCTCTCTCTCTCTCTATCTCATTGTACTGGACATTTGAAATGGAAACATGCTAATACCTTACAGGTTTACAGATAGATGAATGAAAAGTTTACTGTTTTTTTTTTTAAGACACTTATCTTCAGATACCAGATTTCAGTTATCTTTCCAAGCATATCCTTTAACAAAGCAGGCTCTTTCATATCACACTCTTGACAATGTTTCCCAAACATGAGACTCAAAAGCAAATACAAATGGTTTGTTACTCTCCAAATCAATTTCACCTAACAAGGTGGTATTTTTGCTGCCCTACAGGCAGTTTTGTTATTTTTTAAAATTTTTTTAGCTGTTGATAGACCTTTATTCATTTATTTATATGTGGTGCTGAGAAACGAACCCAGTGCCTCACAAATGCCAAGCAAGTGCGCTACCACTGAGCCCCTGCCCCAGCCCCGTTTTGCTGGTTTTATTGGTTTATTACTAAAGTTATTTTCCATAAACAGCCATTGCAAACACTGGCAACAATCATTATAGGATGCAATCAAATTTCAATTAGTGAACTCACTGAAGTCTTACTGGCTCAAGTGACAGGAACCTTAGTACTCCATAACAATTTGCTACCAACTTCCTTAAGGCAAACAACTTCCTCAAGTCTAAATATAAAAAACTAGATCAAGCAGAAAACAGTTTTTTCTTCATTCTGGTCTATCTGCAAAGAATCTAAGTAGCATATCTTGTAAATAGCTTACCAAAACTTCTTGTTCTCAAACTAAGAGCAATCTATTCCTTATATCTTTAACATACCACTTTGGCCTCAGTGTTACCTTCTGTTTTCCCTGATCCCACCAACCTACAAATCTCTCTCTGATCTGAACAAAAAATAGTAATATTTAACATTTATTGAGAATTTAATGTTCCAATGTTTTGTCAATGGAATTATTCTATTAATCCATACAATCCTATGAAATTTATCCTATTTTCCCCTTTTTCAAGTGAAGAAAATGAGTGAAACTCTGGGTTAAGTTCTCCAAGGTCGTTAAGTTCTCCAAGGTCTCCCGGATGCTAAGTGGCAAGCCAAGTCTCAAACCCAAACTACAAAATCCAGGTCTCTAGGCTGGGGATTAAGCTCAGTGACAGAGTGCTTACCCTGCATGTGTGAGGCACTGGGTTTGATCCTTGCACCACATAAAAGTAAACACATAAAATAAAGGCATGCTACCCATCTATAGTTACAAAAAATAATTTTTTTTTTTTTTTTTTTTAAAAACCAAGGCCACTGAACGTCTAATACTGTCTCCTGGCTCAAAGTATCAACTGTCATTACTGCTCACATGTCAGTTAACATACACCTTATGACATTTAACATTTTCTGTTAGTAGTTGTTGTCTCAGAAATTCAACACATCATTCTTCAACAAAAATTTTCTCAAAAGTCTGTGTGCCAGCATTGTTGACTACCATGCTTTTTATAAAGGCATGTTACAAAAAGCATTAGGAATGGAAATGAATTCTCCCAACATGTGGACATCCCAGAAATGTAAATGCAAAATTTAAAATAGCACGTACACAACCATTATCATTAAATAAAAACCATGTTTATGTAAAAATTTAAAAAGAGCAGTCATAAATAAGATGACAAAATTGTGGAGTTTTTCCTATTTCATCATGTTTTTTGGTAAGAGAGTTAAAAAAATAAAAAGATTTTTTTTTTCCTTTTTGTGGTGCTATATTGAATCCAGGGTATTACACATGCTTGGCAAGTGGTTGGTCTACCAGGGAGCCACATCCACAGCCCAGACTTTTTTTAAAACATGTTTTTTGTACTTCTTTCCCCCACAGAACAGTAGAAATAGCCTAGAAACATTAATATAAACACCGCTCCTCTTAACATCCCACCTTAATTTGACAACCCTCCACCAACTGGGGATTGAACCCAGAGTGTTCTATCACTGAGCTACACACATAAGCCTTTATTTTTTATTTTGAGACAGGGTCTGACTAAATTGCCAAGGAATGGAATTCACACTGCCTCAACCTCCCCAGTCACTGTGATCCCCGGCCTGCCCCATGGCAACAGGCTAATTTGGCTTTTTCAGGAAGATATAATATCTTCTGCTAAGGCTAGCAGGTACTATAAGTAAATAGATACGTAAGTGTTCTGGCAATTATAAACTTCTGGAAACTTGTAACTGGTTTTCATGAAGTGTCATCAAATCTTAGAACTGAATGGAATCTAGCAGAACATCTTAGGCTCCCTCATTTCGCAGATTAGTTACTAAATTCTAAAACCTAAATTCTGGGTTATAGAGTAGAGTAAAGCAGCAACCTATACTGCTGAAATGTACTGGTTTATATTGCAACGGAAAAGCACTTCAGAAATAGTATATCTGTTAGTATCAACACAGGATGTGCAGTTTTAATTTTAATAAATAGTTATATCTTTTTTTTTTTTTTTGGAACTGGGGGTTGAACCCGGGCTTTGCAAATGCCAGGCAACATTCCAGCCCCTAGTTGTCTTCTTGAATTAACCTTTTCAGGTATGGATGTCTTCATCTGGATAAATTTTAACCACTGTTGAGAAGTACCATGGTAAATATTTGAAAGACCTGAGGCCTTCCCCCCACAGTCATTAAGTCTTACTGGCAAACTGCACCGTTCCAACATTCTCCCCTTCACATTCCAGTCAGTACAGTCTGCATCCTTAAGAGGCAAAAATTTATAGTCTATGGATGTTATGAGACAAATATGGGAAATCTGCCCGCAACCGGGTGCGCGCACAGGGAACGCGCGCGCTCGCGCGCTCACACATACACACCCCCCCGCTAGAATGGTGACTAGTCATTTCAGAGCACAACCCTCAAATATAACGGCCGGAAAACTGAAAGCACGGGAAAACAAATCCACATCAAGCCCTACCCACCTCTTTTAAAAGCTGCGGCCTCCCCCAGGGCCAACCCCCCAAAACGTAATTCTTACAACGGGCCTCACATCCGCCTCTCGCCCGTGCTCTCCCCGGCGTCCGGGGGAAACGAAAGGCACTGGCGGCCCCCAACGGCTGACCCCCGCCTGGAGGGAACTAGCGCGTCTCTCTGAGGCGGCTGGCAACCCGAGGTGAGCTTTCCAGGAAGCGCCGCACACGAAAAAACCAGCGTGTGGGCCATCAAGTCGGCAGCGTCTCGGGGTCTCGCTGAGACGCTGCCAAGCTGCAGCCCACCGCGCGCCCGCCAGTTCTCCGGGTCGGCCTCGGGGTAGCCCGAGTCGGCCGAAAAAAACAGGCAGAACGGGTGGAGGGCGTCTCTGGAAGCGGGACCCGGGCTGCCTCCACCCTGCCAAAGGGGGGACGGAACGCGGCGAAGGCAAGGCGGGGTCCCAGCAAGACGACGCCGGGAAACAATGGCGCGAGCGTGACGTGGGCCGGGGGCGTCGCCGCGGCACCCGGGAAGGGGCTGCGGTGGGGCAAGGGCGGCCGGGGTAGGGGGCGTGCGAGGACCCCGGCGCGGGATCCGCGGGTGCGCAGGCGGGGGCTCGGCCTGAGAAGAGGGGTCTAAAGGGACGCCGCAACTGGGAACGGGGACAGGCAGCGGCCCCAGCCCCGGGGTCGCGTTCTCGGCCGCGCACCCTCTCTTCTTTCCTCTCTCCCTCGCCCGCTCCTTCCCCTCCCGCCCGCGGCGCCCCTGGCGCCTGCGGCTCCCGCGGAACTCACCGGCCCCACCGCACGGCTGCAGTCCCAGCGCGCAACTGCTGCAGCCGCCTTGGCGCGCGCCCTCCCCGCCCCCGCCGCCCCGGCCCCGCCCCCAGCTCGCGCCCGGCCAGGGACCGGAGCGCTGTTCCGTCCCTCGGCTCCGCCGCAGAACCCAGTGGTGGAGACGCTCCCTGGCCAACAGCGGGACTCCAAACGTGATCCCCGCCAGTAGTTCGCCACTGACGAGCGTCTGGGGATCTTCGAATGACAGAACACCGGTTGTTGCCCAGCTGTGTGGGGTGACGCACGTTGACAACCCTTCCATCTCCTGTAGGTCCCCATTCCTTGACATTCTGCCCTTGTCCTTCTGCAGGGCCCTGGCTACCCTCTCTACTACCAGCATCTCACCTCCTCTCCCAAGAGGCTTTCCCTTAGAAGGAAAAAGAGTCCTTGTACCCAGTCACAGTACCTTTTACTCAAATGGGCCTGAGGGCGCCTCTGGTCCATAACCTGTAGCACGCTTGAATTGCCTTGGTGACTAAAAACACTGGCTTTTGGAATTTATCAGAACTGGTTCGAACCCAGTTTCACTACCTACAAACTGTATGACCTTGGGAGAGATACTGGACCTCACTACACACAGTACCCTCATCTGTAATGCAGGGATAGTTAACAATATTGACAGGATTAAATAATGTAGGTAAAACCTTCTGGTACATAGTAAGCACTCAATAAATGTAGTTGTTATATTGACACCCCAGCATTACCACCTTGCCACAGGCAAGAAGACCCCCCCCCCCCAGAGAGAGAAAGCCTACTACTTTAGGAGCACTGCATTCCTTCATTTGGGCGATTGTGACTAGTGTTTCAGAAGTTCTAGCCTTTGAAGCCTCAAAGAACAAATTAGTCTCTCTTGGACCTTGGACTTTGTCTGCCCAAGGTCTTCCCTTGGAGATCAGTATCTCCCACTCCTTTCATTCTTCCTTCTTTGCCCTGATCCTGAGGGTCTCTTCTCCTTCTACCCATACACCTGGTCAATTTGTGACTCCTTTAGAATATGTCACCCAAGACTGACAGTGTTTGTGGTGCCATTAGGACAAAGCACTATCACTTCCTCCTTGTAGGACTTACTGACTTGAATCATGCAATAAAGTTGTTGGCACCTGATGGCCTCTGCCTGTAGTCCCAGCTACTTGGAAGACTGAGGCAGCAGGATTGCTTAAGCCCTGAAATTTGAGGCCAATCTGGGCAACATAGAGAGACCCTGTCTGGAAAGAGAGAGAGAGAGAGAGAGAAAAGAAAACAGTTCTTGGCATCCACACTATTGACTCCTATTTAAGCTTGAAGTCAGGGGAAATACTGGGGAATGATATTGGCCAAATTATATTGTAACACAACCTCTACATATGAATATATTGTAATATCACCTGCATATATGAATATATAACAACATATCCACCAGCATGTATAATTATAATGCAACAACAAAAAATATGGGGAAATATAACTTTCAGTCAACTTAAACCACCAAGTTGTTTTTTTTGTTGTTGTGGTACTAGGGATTGAGCCCAGGGATGTTTTACCACTGAGTTATATCCCCAGGCCTTTTTATATTTTATTTTGAAACAGGGTCTTAAATTCCCAGGCTGGCCTCAAACAAACCTGCACTCCTCATGCCTCAGCCTCCTGAGTAGTTCAGATTACAGGCAGGCATCACTACACCAGCCTTCCAGTCTTTCTACCAAGTACTCCACTCCAGCATTTATATCTCCTCCTATGTTTTTGAGCCAACTTCATTCAATTCAGCTCAGGGATTTTGGCCTCTTACCTACTAGATTTTTCAGGATATGGGAGAAAAGGGAACGGAGAAGATGGAAGTTAACTTAACACCATCTTTAAACCAAATTTAAAAGTCTTTTAAAAGGTCAGGGTTTGTATCTAAAGAAATACTGAGTTTGCTCATGCACAGGCACACATGCAAAGTGATTTCAACTGGAAAAAAAAAAGTGAACACATACAAAAGATTAAAAGAAAATATGTAACAGGATATTTTAACAATGATTTTCTTATAAGTGCAGTGGCGTCATGCTGGTAATCCCAGCAGTTTGGGAAGCTGAGGCAGGAGGAGCACAAGTTCAAAGCAGCCTCCAAAATTTAGAGAGGCCCTAAGCAACTTAAAAAGATCCTGTCTCAAAAAAAATTTTGTTTGTTTTAAAGTCTGGGGATGTGGCTTAATGGTTAAATGCCCCTGGGTTTAATCCCTGGTCCAAAAAAAAAAAAAAAAAAAAGACTTACGATGCTTTTTTCTTTACACTTTACCATTAATTTCTTATACTGTGTTATTTTTGTAATCAAGAATCCTATTACCCAAAAAATTCAGAAAAAATATAATTAAAATGTAATCAGAGAGATGGGCTGGGTAGGGTACTTGTGTAGCATGTATGAGGCCCTAGCTTCAAACCCCAACACATACACAAACACACACACACAAAAAAAAAAAAATCAGAGAAATGGGAATAAGTTGAAAAATTGGAAACAAAATTAAAAGATAACAGACTAGCAGAAAATATTTGCAATACATAAAACAGACAAACCATTTGTGTTCGTCTATAAGAAATATAAGAAAAAGAAAACAATAGAAAAGTGAGATAAGAATATAGTTCATAGAAAAAGAAGTACAAACTGCCAAAAAAAAAAACCACAAAAAGATGCTCAATCTCATCAGTAATTATAGAAATGGTAAATAAAATTGAGTCTGGCAAACAATTTCAAGCTTTGTAACATCAAACTATATAAACTGGCACAGCCATTTCAGAGGACAATAGAACACCTGCTAAGTCAACAGTGTTGCCCCTGGTTATCTACCATAATTCCATGTGCACATGAAGATATGTATAGGCCAACCAATAAAGAAAATTTGGAAATCAGCCTCAGTGCTCACCAACAGAGGAATGGCTAAATGAAATGGAGAATACTCATATAATGGAATTCTGTAGAGAACTTAAATGACCTCAATCTACGTGTATCAACATAGACATTTTCAATTTTGTATTATTGAATGAAAATAGCAAGTTGAAGAATGATATAGTATTGATATATATGGAATACAGTATCAATATTATATATATATTCTTTTAAATCCTTCCCCCAAATGAAAATTTTCAGGCTTATCAAGAAAAACAAACTGGGTGCAGTGGCACATGCCTGTAATCCCAGCGGCTCGGAGGATCACAGGCTCAAAGCCAGCCTTAGCAAAAGCAAGGCGCCAAGCAACCCTATCTCTAAATACAATACAAAAAGGGCTGGGGATATGGCTCAGTGGTCAAGTGCCCATGAGTTCAATCCATAGTACTCAAAAAAAAAAAAAAAAAGAAAGAAAGAAAGAAAGAAAAACTATCAAGCAATTGAAATTGACCAAATTATGTGACATGTGTACATTCATACGTAACAGTGAAGGACACTATTGTGTATAATTATAATGCACCAATGAAAAATTATATACAGGGCTAGGGATATAGCTCAGTTGGTAAAGTGCTTGCCTTGTATGCATAAAGCCCTGAGTTCAAGCACCACAAAAAATAAAAATTACATACAAAACAGCAGCTTGGAAGGCTGAGGTAGGAGGATCATGAGTTCATTAATGAGGCCCTAATCAACTCAGTGAGACCCTGTGTCAAAATTAAACATAAAAAGGACTGGAGAAGTGACTTTGTGGCTAAGTACCTCTGGTTCAATCACTAGTACCAAAAAAACAACTAACTAAAAAACCCATATTACATACCTAAAGTAAGTTTTATATGATGTATAATTTTTTAAAAAGGAAAAAAATCAGACAAACCCAAATTGACAAAATATTCTACAAAATACCTAACCTATACTCTTCAAAAGTGTCAAGGTTGTGAAAGACAAGGAAAGACTAAGAAATTGTCTTGGATTCTTCCTATTAACAATTATGAAGAGATGAAGGAGACCAGACAACTAAATGCCATATGGTATCCTGGGATCCTGGAACAGAAAAAGAACATTAGTGAGGAAACTGGTAAAGTTGGAATAGTCTAGTTTAGTGTAGTTAATAGTACTGTAGCAATGTTAATTTCTCAGTTTCCATCATTGAGCCATGAATTATGTAAACTGTTAAACATTCAGAGAGGCTGGGTAGAAGGTATGCTGAAACTTTCTGTCCTATCTTGCAACTCTTCTGTAAATCTAAAATTATTTCAAAAACAAAAAATGAAATCAAATGCAGATATAAACAATACCAGTATTTCCTATCATCACATTAGGTTTATAAGATTTTTTAAAACAGATCTGGCAGAGTGTGGTAGGCACACACCTGTAATCCCAGCAGCTCCAGAGGCTGACACAGGAGGATCATGAGTCCAAAGCAACCCTAAGCAACTCAGGAAGACCCTGTCTCCAAATACAATACAAAAAAGGGCTGGGATGTGGCTCAGTGGTAGAGTGCCTTTGGGTTCATTCCCCAGTAAAAACAAACAAACAAACAAAATCTGTAGGATTGGGGTTGTGGCTCAGGGGTGGAGCACTTGCCTGGCACATGAGAGGCCCTGGGTTTGATCCTCAGCACCACATAAAAATAAATAAATAAAATAAAGGTATTGTGTCCAACTACAACTAAAAAAAAAAAAAATCTGTAAAGCTACCTGCCAAACACATACCAGAGGTTAACCCTAAGGATAGAGGTAAAGGACCAGGATTGGGAATATTAGCTTTAGTTTTAACATTGTAGAAGATAAATTTAACCATGTATTGCTCTTGTAACTAAAAATTCTTTTAATGCAAAAAAAAAAAAAAAAAGCAAAAAGACAAGACATTTGATCTCATGACTTTCTAAGATAAGACAAACCATGCCAATTTATGAAACAGTCTTCCAACAGAGGGCTAGGAGGCTGAGAAATCATAGAAGATTTGCTTAGAGTCTTTAACCTGACATTAGCTGAAGGGCCTAAGCACAGCTTGATGAAAGAAGTCATCTCACTGTGGCCGTGGATGACCTCTCACCAAGTTTCCAGGTACCCACATGGCTGGCTGTCCTATCTATCTGATCAACACTGTTTTACTCAAACTACTGTAAACTCTGAGTCATCCAGAATGCAGGCAGCATTCACAGGTCACTTAGCAGTTTTTCTGCTTCTTGGCAGAAATTCTATTTAAATATATTCATTGAGTTCGGCTGTCTACATGCCTAACACTGAACAACACAGATATTAGATTCTAGCCTCTTAGGGTTTGCTGATTGCTTGGAAGGTTAACTTTATATAGACCAGTAATTATTTGGTAAATGCTATGCAAAAAAAAAAGTAGAAGATGCTACAATGGAGAAAAAAGCAGGGGCTAGAGTTGGAGTGGAAAAGGGGTCAGGAAACATTTTCCTATGGAAATGTTAACTGAGACCAGAAGGATGAATAGGACTTAGACAAAAAAAGCTAAAAGAGGGATTGTTTAGAGGAATGAAGTCCTAAAAGAAGGAGCTGGAGGTGCAAAGGCCCCCAAACAGGGAGGGGGCTTTGAGGAATGATCAGAAGCCTAGAGAGAGAAGGAGAAAAATAGCAAAAATCAGTCCCAGAGGGAGGGCAAGGCCAGAGCTGGCAGGGTGCTGTAGTCCACGCTAATGACCTGGAGCCTTACCTTAAATGCAAGGGAGAGTAACTCAAGGGACCAAAGCAGAGGAGTGGTAGGAATGAGACTCAGTTTTGTTTTGTTTTTCCTAGGCAAGAGCTCTGCCACTGAGCTATACTCCCAGCCTCAGATATGGAATATTTTCAGCCATAAAAGGAATTAAATTCTGATATATGCCACAAATTGTATGATAAAAAGGAATACATTTTGACACATGTTGGACCGTGAAAACATGCAAAGTGAAAGAAAGCAGACACAAAAGGACATATATTGTATGATTCCACTTACGTGAAATAGCTGGAATAGGCAAATTCACAAACACAAAAAGTAGATTAGAGGTTACCAGGACCTGAGGGTAGAGAGGCATGGGGAGTTCTTGCTTAATTGTTCAGAGTTTCTGTTTAGAATGATGAAAACATTTTGGAAATAGTGGTGATGGTTGCACAACATTTTGAATGTAATTATTCCACCTGAATCATACTCTTAAAAATGGTTAAAATGGAAATTTTGTTATATATATTTTACTACAGTAAAAACTTTTTTAACTTTCAAAAAAATGAATCAAAAATAAAAATAGGATTATTTCTTCCATGTTCACCTAGAATACCCTGGTCTCCTTGTCCTTACAGATGCTGTTTTCTCTATCTGAAAAGCTCTTTTCACATTCTTAGCTCCTATTCATCCTAAAGGCCTGAACTCAAATGTTCCTCAGAGAGGCCTTCCTTAATTCCACACCCAATTTCACAGAAAACTCCCCACCTGTTACTTTATTTAATATTGCCTGTGCCTTCTTATCCCTCCCCTAACTTAAAACAGTTGCATTGAATAAGAATTTGTGTGATATGTGTTTAATATCTTCCTTCTAATATTTCTCTTCTCAATCTCAGGAGTGCAGGGGTGCAGGGACAATATCCAATATCTATCTTGTCCACTGACAGGGATACAACTCATAGCCAAGGTCTCATACATTGAGAATTCCGTGTGTGTGTGTGTGTGTATAAATATATATATATATATATATATATTTTTTTTTTTTTTTTTTTTTTTTTGTTTTTGGTGGTGCTGAGGATCAAACCCAGGGCCTTGTGCAAGCAAGGCAAGCACTCTACCAACTGAGCTATATCCCCAGCTCAAGAATTCCATGTATATTTTTAAAGAAATTAATAACTAAATGAACGCATGATAGACTTGGGAGATTTTATTTTAATGCCTTTTACAATGCTATACTTTTTTTCTTTGCAGTACAGGGGATCGTACATGGTAGGCAAGTGTCCTACCACTGACCCACAACCCCAGCCCAAACACTTAAATTTAATTAAATTATTTTTTAAAAAATAGGAAAGCAAACCAGGGCTCTCATTCTTACATTCCTGTCTCTATCCCGTGAAGTCATCAGCCATCTCTTCAAGCAGGGACCTAAGCGAGAAAATAGTACAAGTTGTTTCTAAGTAGAACTGATATATCACCAACCATTCAACCTTAAGTCTCTAAATAAGTGATAAGTAAACCAGGTGCCATGGCACATGCCTGTAATCCCAGCACCTCTGGAGGCTGAGTTAGGAAGATCACAAATTCAAGGCCAACCTCAGCAATTTAGTGAGACATAGTTGAATGGTTGAGCACCCCTGAGTTCAATTCCCAGTACCATAAATAAATAAATAGTTGTTGGACTTAAAGCAGAACACTTTTGTTCTGCACAATCAAAACCAACAGCCTGCCTCTACAAGAGCTCAGCCTGCTTGGGTATTGCACCCATTTAGGTTAAGCAGCACCCATACTGGAACTAAAGTCTGAAGCATACAAATACCAGAATGTGGAAAAGCATTTACTTCTGAATTCAGAAAGCCAATTTTTGCTGAATGCGTTGGCTAACACCTCTAATCCTAGCTGCTCAGGATGCTGAGGCAGGAGAACTGAAAGTTTAAAATGAGCCTCAGCAATTTAGTGAGACCCTGAGCAACTCGGCAAGACCCTGTCTCAAAATAAAAAATAAAGGACTGAACCTGTAGCTCAGTAGTAAAGCACTCGCCTAGCATATGTTACAGACGGGCTGGTTTCCATCCTCAGCACCATATTAAATAAATAAACAAAGGTATTGTATAAGAAAAAATAAAAATAAAATGGGCTGGGGAAATGGCTCATGGGTGAAGCGCCCCTGGGTTTAATTCCCTGTACCAAAAAAAAAAAAAAAAAAAAAAAAAAGCCAATTCTATAATTAGTATGGAGTTAAGTCAAGACTTTCTACTATTAGTCAGGGAACGCATTCCCTAATTGATTTAATTTTCCCATCTTGGCATTCCACAGGACTTCAATAAACAATTTTCTTGCTAACAGGATGCTAAACAAACATAATTATTTTTGAGACAAGAAATGCAAATAAAAGCTAATTTAATGAATTTGTTTTCTGGATATGGACACTCATGGGAACTGAAAGGCGTGAAAATACAGGAGGAAGACACAGCTCGCTCATAACAGCTTTCTTATAAACAAATTTTATCCCACAGACCTTTGAATCTTTCAACCCCAAAGCAACAGTTTTCCCTCTGCTTTTTACATTTTACATGTAAATTGCATAAACCAAGAGAGTGCAAAACAAACTAGAGACCACAGACATTAGGAAATTTTTGGTCACAAGTAACAGGAAACCCAGTTAAAACAGGCTACAGCATGAGGAAGTTTACAGGTATGGTAGAACCTTAATCATTTAAGTAATCAACATTGCCATTAAGGACCAGCCTTTTTCTCTCTGCTGTTATGTGTTCCCCTCCTGCTTGTAAGCTGGATTCAAGTTTCTTTGCTCTTCTCCACCCCGAATGTTAAGTCCTTCTCTTCAAACTAATTGATGTTCCTTGGAAAAAAGGTCTATGCTTGCAGAATTTGGGGTGGGTGGCAGGGTACTAGAGATTGAACCCAGGGCCTCCTGAATGCTTTGCAAGCACTGTATCACAAAGCTACATCCCTTTTGCAGAAATCTTGAAAGGCCCATTTAAACCCTTAGCACTCAGAAAAACTAGGGTACTTGTTATTATAAATGCCTAGGGCAGAACATAAGCTTTGTCATTTTAAGATTGAGCCTTAGTACACAAGAAAATGGCTCTGTTTCTCAGACCAAAAGAGGCAAGGAGGGAATTATATAGGGATTTTTAAGAAACACAACACATTTTCTTCATCAGTGGTTCTTAAACTTTACCTGGCATAAGGGTTGCCTGGGGAATTTTCTAAAAGATAGATTTCAGACCCTATCCCAGTCCTACCAATTATGAATTCCTAGCCATGTGTCCTGGGAATTCCAGATTTAAACAAACTCCCAGGTAATTCTGATGCAAGTGGTCCTTGTGTTCTCTGACAATGCTAACCATCTACCTCATGCCTGCTTGTGACAGCAATCAATGTTACCATGGTACCAACCAATCAGAGCCAGCCTCTGATGCTTGCTGCCCAGGCAACAACTGACTTTGCAAGCTTCTTGCTTGTTTGCTAACACAAGGGGCCATTTTAAGCAATTTCCTAAGTGCTGCAAAAATTATTCAACTGACCCAAAGAAACTGATTCATGGCTGCAGGATCAGGGATTATAAATCACTATGACACCTCACATTCAGATCATCCAACTGTTAATCCCTTTTTTTATTCTATTTCAGATGTCAGATGCTAGCCCCCCAAAGACTGCATTTCATTGGCATGAATAATTCCAATAAATGTCAAGATTCAGATGATGTTCCAAAGCCCACCACACCTGACACCTATAGCACCCCTGTTGTTACAAGGGTCTCCACCTGGGCTAAAAGTAAATAAGTCCTACCTCATGTGAGTGACCAGTGGTTGAGTTTATTACTTTTATTTTTTCAAAAACCAAACAAGTTCTTTTCAACTAATTCTTTGGTTTAGATGCTAACCATCTGAAAGAAAATCCAAGCTAATGGGAAAGAGGATAGGATAGGTTGCTGGGTACAAAGGTGCACCATAATCCCAGTGGTTTGGGAGGCTGATGCAGGAGGATCACAGGTTCAAGGCCTGCTTCAGCAATTTAGGTCGTAAGCATTTTAGCGAGACCCAGTCTCACAAAATAAAAAGAGCTGGGGATATACTTCAGTGGTAAAGTGTCGTTGAGTTCAATCCCCAGTACCAAATCAAGAAAGAAAGAGGGAGGGAGGGAAGAAGAAAGAGAATAGGCTAATCTACTCCCGTAACAGGAATATGAAGTGAAATAATTCTAACTATGTTACACAGCAAAGGAGATTTAAGGCAGCAGAAGGGATTAACTTTGCTAATCTGATGATCTTAAATAGGAAGAGTAGTTGGAATTTTCCAAGTGGGTCCAATGTAATCACAAATATCCTTAAACAAGGAAGATGAAGGGACAAATCAGTGTCGGAGAGATACAGCGTGAGAAAGATTTGACCTACCAGTGCTGGCTAAGAGGATGGAAGGAAACCAGGAGTCAAGAAATGTAGGCCACTTCTAGACTCTGGAAAAGGCAAGAAAACTGCTTCTTCCCTAGAGTTTCCAGAAGGAACACAGCCCTGCCCTGAAACCCATTTCAGACTTCTGCCCTCCAGAACTGTAACATAATAAATTTGCTTCTTTAAGCCAATTAAGTTTATGACCATTAGTTGTAGCATCAAAAAGAATATAAATACAGGGCTGGGGTTGTGGCTCAGCCATAGAGCACTTGCCTAGCACATTCGAGGCCTTGGGTTCGATCCTCACCACATAAAAATAAATAAATAAAATGAAGGTATTGTGTCCGACTGGAAAAAAAAAAAAAAAAGAAAAGAAATACACAGGGTTTAAGAGTGAAGACCAGTAACAGATACAGAACTAAAGGGTTGAATGAGGGTTTCTCTGCCTGCTGCCATAGACTCCTCTCTCTAGTGGTGGTCCAGAGGAAACCCATCACTCCAAGTTTTCCAAGAGTGTTATCTTTTTTTTTTTTTGTTATATTTTGAGTTTTCGGCAGACACAACATCTTTGTTTGTATGTGGTGCTGAGGATCGAACCCGGGCCACATGCATGCCAGGTGAGCGCACTACCGCTTGAGCCACATCCCCAGCCCAAGAGTGTTTTTTTTAAAAAAAAAAAAAAAGATTTTTTTTTAAAGATGGACACACTATCTTTATTTATTTATTTTTTTGTGGTGCTGAGGATCGAACACAGTGCCTCACATGTGCAAGGCAAGCGCTGTACCGCTGAGCTACAACCCCAGCCCCCAAGGGTGTTATCTTTTAACCAGGCAACCTGGTTCATAAAATCTGCAGGATTTAAAAAAAAAAAGATTATATATGGATAAACAAATTCATATACATTTTTTGGCCTAGTCAATGTTGCTGTGTTTTGTCTTCCCCTTCTTTTATTTTTTTATATTTTGGTACCAGGGATTGAACCCAGGGATACTTAACTTGAGCTACATCCCCAGCACTATTTATTCTTTATTTTGAGACAACTTAGCCTCGCCAAGTTACTGAGGCTAGCTTTGAACTTGCAATCCTCTTGCTTCAGCCTTTCAAGTCACTGGGATTACACGTGTGTGCCACCATACCCAGCATCCTCTTTTAAATGAAAGATAATAGAGCTAGGGATGGGGCTGGGGTTGTGGCTTAGTGGTAAAGCACTCACCTAGCATGCATGAGGCACTGGGTCAATCCTCAGTACCATATAAAATAAAATAGAGCAAGGGATGTAGCTCAGTAGTAAGAGTACTTTCCTGCTTGCACATCCAGTGCTGCCAGAAAAAAAAAAAAAAAGGAGGAACTTTATAACAATAAATATATATATGTGTGCACACATCTGCATATATACAGAAAAATGCACAAGTCATTTTCACAAGGTGAGCACACACATGTAACTACCACCCAAATCAAGAGATCAAGATATAAAATATAACCAGAAGCTTCAAAATTTGCTTCATTCTCCTCCCACACACTATTTCAATTCCTGTGAATAATCACTCCTCTGACTTCCAATTCCAAAGGTATGGTTTTTGCCTTTTTTTTAAGTTTATGTAAATGGACTTATGTAATATGCATGCCTTTGTGTCAGGTGTCTTCCACCTAACATATATTTAGCAACTGCTTATTTTCATTGCACTATAGTATTTCATTATGTAGTTATAACCCAATTCATCAAATTTTTTTTTAAGGAAAACTGTGGGTTAAAAATGATTACTTGACATTCCAGAATTTCTCAGAGCCTTTAGCCTACTAACAACTGACTGTAATTCTTAAAACTAAGTTAGCACATCCAAGGGTTCCCAAATGTATTTGAACATGAAACTTTTTTTTTCTTCTGCATCTTATTAGACTAATATTTTTGCAGGACGTGCTTCAAGAAAACCTGGCCTGGACCAAGGATTTTCAAACTGCGTTCCTCAAAGCTCTAGGGTCCCAATACTGCATGAGGGATGAAAGGAAGGCCAACTGGATCTCCCCTTTGGCTTCAACCTGTCACCTCCACTTTAATCTGTTTATGAAAAGGTTCCACATGGTGTAAATGCATATATGTATATGCATACCTATGTGTTACATGTATGGATATGTATACAAGTAACTGCACTTAGGCCTATATTTGAAAAAACAAGTTTGGTTGCTTTAAAAAATGCTTTTGAAAACTACCAGTTTAGGCCAGGTGTAGTGGCATATACCTGTATTCCCAGAGATTGAGAGGCTGAGGCTGGAGGATTGCAAATTTAAGGCCAGTTTCAGCAATTCATCAAGGCCCCAAGCAATTAGCAAGACCCTGTCTCAAAATAAACGATTAAAAAGAGCTGAGGATATAGCTTAGTGGGAAAGTACCTGTGGGTTCAACCTCTGTACCAAAACAAAACAAAACAAAAACAAAAACAAAACTTGCCGGGCTGGGGATGTGGCTCAAGCGGTAGTGAGCTCACCTGGCATGCGTGCGGCCTGGGTTCGATCCTCAGCACCACATACAAACAAAGATGTTGTGTCCGCCAAAAACTAAAAAATAAATATTAAAAAATTAAAAAAAAAAAAAAACTTGCCAACCTAGGCTCTAGAGGACCTCTCAGGTTCTATACTCTAAGGGCTTGCTGACCTTATCCAAAATTTCATTGTTTTTGTAACTGTTGTCTTTTAAGTATCTGTCAAAGGGTTGTCCACTTGCTCTGATATTCACAGTGGTGGTGTGGAAACATCTCAAAAAGGGATCATTGACAAGCAGCTCAACAGAGATCAGGCAGCTTAGTCCACAAGCACTTTTTGTCTATGGAATCAGAGGCTGAAAATAGATTATTACATGTCACCAGAGTTTTAAATTGCCTTTTAACCAGGCAGTGTTGGGTGGGGATTAAGAGTATGGATTCCAGAACCAAAGCCACTGGCTTCAACTCCTGGCTCTGCTGCTAACTAGCTGTGACCTTGGACAAGTTTCTTAACACCCTCATGTCTTAGTTTGCTCATCTTCAAAATGGAAGTGAAGATAATAATAAATATTGGTTTAATAAAAGCAAAGTGAAAATTGTTCTTTTATTTCTACACGAATTTATAGGTGGCAAAAACCAACCCTGGGTATTTGATTCTTTCACTGTTTGACCTTCTATCACTGGCTCTTAGGGTGAGGTTCATTCTGTGGCTTCCCAAAGTGAGAATCCAGAGACATATGGCCTTGCTCCTGGCCCTACAATGTGGTGAGGGGTTACCAGACTTAGGATTTCTTGGAACAGTGACATTTCAAAGGGGCTGGGAATGTGGCTCAAGCGGTAGCGCGCTCGCCTGGCATGCGTGCGGCCTGGGTTCGATCCTCAGCACCACATACAAAACAAAAGATGTTGTGTCCGCCGAAAACTAAAAAATAAATATTAAAATTTAAAAAAAAAACAAAAACAAAGGCAACTGTAGGATTTGCATAAGGTAGCCATCTTTTAGCTCTGCCAGTCAGAACATCAAAATAAACTGCCACCTACTATCATTATTATTTAATGAAAGGTAATTTTAACATCAAAAAAGTAGGGAAAATGTAATATTAGATTAATAGGGTTTTGAATTCATTACACTTAGCTTAGTTTAAAAAAAAAAAAATCACTACCCCTTTACCCTATTCCACTTCATCTTGAGCCAGTGGCCAATCCCTGTTTGTGACCCAGAATTTGGCCAACACTATTCTACATGGCCCTTCACAGTGTTCCTGGCCACACTTGGTGTTATGACTTAACACCTCTCTGAATGACCAAGCTTCAAAGCTGGTACTGAGTAAACAAAGTTTGTAAAAGGGAGGGCATTCACTAATGATCCCAGAGAGTAAGAGCTACTGTGCTCAAAGGTGGACAAACCACAGGGTGTTGGGAGGAGATGTTTTAGTTGTTCCATGTAGCATTTGATGGGGCCATTTATAACCTAATTCCAAGTCAAGAAGGACTCTTAGCTACCTTAAGTGTATAGAGTTTTTCCATTCAAAAACAGGGATCAGGGTATAGCCTCTCAAGCTACCCCACTGCTGACCCACTAAAATTTTTGTTAAGGCTCTTAGCCATACAAGGATCTGGTGTTCTCATCTACACATTGGAGGCAGTAATATCCACTCTACATTTCTCAAGATTGTTTGTGGAATCAAATAAGTAATGACTGTGAATATGGTTTTGAAACACTGTCTTGAAAAAAGGAATGAGTATTTGCAACTCTCAATCCCCACCCACTTCTAGTTAGGGCCCCAAGTGCCCAACCATAAAGGCAAGTTTATACCTGGACCACAGTCCACCTTTCCTTCAACCTGATTGGAACTCCATAGTACAACACTCCGAAACATCTAGGGTCCCAGGCCTGTGAAGAGAACCATAGAGGTAGAGAGGAGTCTTTTTTTCTCTTTCTTGGAGCCCCCAGTTCCCTTGTTTTCTCCTGGTAGAAGTAAGCTGCTAAATTTAAACTCTTAGGAATCCACAAATATCCTTGGAATTCCAACTTAGTGAGCCTGTTCAACAAGCTTCCTGCTGAACTAACAAAGGGTGATAGCACAAGAATGCCTGGAGACCTTCCATTCCCCTGCCTCCAGGGAATCCTGGCAGCTTGGCTTTCTAGCATCTTAGATCTGGAAGAAACTTTAGATCATGGTTTTCAATTCTGGCTGAACATTAGAATCACCCGGGAGCTTTTACAAAATACCCATGCCCAGGCTGTACCTCACACCAATTATCACCATCTTGGGAGAGGAGCCCAGACATCAGTGTTTTGTTTTGTTTATTTTGTGTGGCTTTGGGCTCAATACCAGGGCCCTGTACATGCTAAGTATGTGCTCTACCATTGAACTACCTACCTAGCCCCTTGGCATCAGTATTTTTAAAGCTTCCCAGATGATTACAAAGTGCAGCCTAGCCTGAGAATCATTGCTACAAATGATCCAGGTCAAACACCTCATTTTACAGAAGGAAAAACTGAAGCATAGAGTTTAAGAATTTTGTCCAAATCATACAGCTCCTTAGAGTTTGAGATCTCAGTTCAACAAGTGATGACAATAGCTAGCTTTTGTTAAACATTTACTCTGGGCCAGAGTAAGCACTAAGTACTTTACAAACATAATAATCTCAACTAAACTTCACAACAACCTAGTGAGAAAACTGAGGCCACCCCAGGAGTTTAACTATATTGCTCAAGGTCAAAGCAACTAAATAGAGGCAGAGAATCCAGCTCAACCTTCAACCAAATTTGAGCAGCATAGAGATGACAAGATAGAGAGAGCACATCTGCCCTAAAGGAATTTAGACTCTAGTGGGAGGGATAAAAAGCAGGTGGGCCAACAAGTTAAACCTAGTCTGGAGGCTTGGAGGTGTGGCTCCGTAGTAGAGCATTTAACCTATGCTTAGCATGCAAGAAGTCTTGGTTTAGAGCCCCAGCACTGTAGTACAAAAACAAAAATAAAACAAAACCCAAAAAACCCCACCTAGTTTGGAGTGGGGCACAGAGGCTGTGGGTGGCACACAGTTCATGAGGCTGAGGAGGAGAATCACTTTGAGTTCAGTAGTTTGAGACCATCCTGGGCAACCTGAGACCCCATCTCAAAATCAAAAATAAACCACAGTCTTACAAGTTATCGTAGAATTATTTGAAAGATTAAGCAGAGGTTGCCATGGAAAGCCAAAAAGGCACCTGGCTCTTGGAAAAGTCATAGAAGCCTTCCTAGAGGAAGTATTTGAAGGACCTTGTAAAAGAGGAGTAGATTAATTTCATGCAAAGCAACCATAAAGGCATGGTAATGTCAGAGAGCATGGTAAATGCTCAAAGGTATGTAGCAATTCAGAATTATTTGACAGGTATAACTGGGCGAATGGAGCTGTCAGAGAGGAGCCTGAAAGTTGGAGACCAGATCATTAAGCTAAGGAGTTTGAAATAGGGAACCATAGAAGCATTATGAAAGGATCAGCTATGTATACAGCTGTGTATTTAAAAGATTACTAGATGATACAACCAAAAGCATAGGCAGGAAAAGAAAAAGAAAAAAGATAAATTGGAGTATATCAAAATTAAAAACTTTTGCTGGGCATGGTGGCTTGCACCTAAAATCCCAGTGACTCAGGAGGCTGAGGGAGGATTACAAGTTCAAGACTAACCTGGGCAATTTAGTGAGACCCTGTATTAAAATAAAAAATAAAAGGGATAGGGATGTAGCTCAGTGGTAGAGTACCCATGGGTTCAATCCCCAGTACCACACATACATGCACACACACACGCACATATACACACACATAAATAGAATTATTATGTGACCCAGCAATCCTCCTCTGAGTATATACCAAAAAATAACTGAAAGCGGGTCTCCAAGAGATATACATACATTCTCATTGATATAAGCAGCATTCACAATAAATAGTCAAAAGATAGAAGTAACTCAAGTGTCCATAAACAGATGAATGGATAAACAAAATGTGACCTGTACAAAAGATAACAGCAGGGCTGGGGTTGTAGCTCAGTGGTAGAGCACTTGCCTCGCATGCATGAGGCACTGGGTTTGATTTTCAGCACCACATATAAATAAATAAATAAATAAATAAAAAGTCCATCAACAACTAAAAAATAGATATTAAAAAAAGAGGGGTATGGGGTATTGTTCAGGACAATGGAAAGGTCCTGACCCAGTGATTGTCTGGAGTCAGGGTTCTGTTTGTGTGTTTCCACAGGGAGAACAGCAGCCGATTTGGATTCCAGAGAGACTAACCAAAGTAATTTCTACAGACCAAAAAGAAGATGATTTGACTCAAATCCATAACAGCTGATATCCAGAGCTCCAGCTTTGCTATTCTTACATCTGCAACAGTGATTAACCAGGATGCTTTTTTCAATATCTATTTTATTATTGCCTTTTCCCACATCATAAAGTTCTATTTTAATTTTGAGCTCATACAGACCTAGGTTAATGTTTTTCTGATCAGTTTTATTTTTTGACTGTGGAGTTTTTAAACATTGCAATGGAGATTTCACCTATGTAAAGCTACAAGGCCTTTACTATTGTCTTATGTGTTGTATGTTATGTGTGCACACTTCTGTTTTGTGTTGTATGTCTGTATGTGCATATGTCCATATATCATATATGAGGAGCGCTCATGAAAAAATAGATCCAAATTTTTTTTTTATTATTCACATGATTTTAATGGTTTAATTTAAATTGAGTAAACAGCTGTTGAGGATTGTTTAATATGTGAACA